AAAGGTATCAAAAACCCGATGTTCAAATAATTTTGATGACACTATAATATCTGATAAAATGCGTGCTAATAAAAAACTTGAAACTTGCACGTCCTCCTTAAAAATGGAAAACTTTTATTAGTAATATTTTTTTCGTTTTGATGATATATGTAAAAATGTCAACACTTTTTTCTTATGATGTATAAGCAATATATATATATATATATCTGCCTCGCCCTTAAAATGAATAAAATTGCATGACCTATTTCAGGAACACCATATATAGACACACATACATTCGCGCCCGATATTTAGCGGCGGCGTCATATGGTAGCAAACACCTGCTACGCAGAGAACGCGATTACATACGCGTGTGCGTGGTTGTGTAATGGCCTGCACGGGAGTTTATCGAACGCCGACGAGGAGGGAAGCGCGAGTGTGGGAGCGTGTTGTTTCTCGACGTGCGCGACGCAACGGGGCGACTTTATTCCCGGAGATTTTTCTCCCGCGCCGCGCCGGGTCGGGAGGAAGCCGCGCCGCGCCGAGGAAGCGCGGTCGTGTTATTTCTCTTTCCACGATGCTCCTCGATATGCATGCTTACGCGCGGAACGAGAGAAACGGACAATGGCGGCGGGGAAACGATGAGAATCGCGCGTATGGGAAACATTCGTATATACGTTACGCCGGTATCCGCGCCGCGCTGCTCGAATTTCCGCGGATTCCCTGTTATGATTGTCCTGTTCGAGCGATCGCATGTGTGAATAAAGAGTCGCGTACGTCGTGACGATCGCAAGATCGTCGTGTACACGGGCGCGATCCTATATCAGCATCGCGTTACACGGCATCCCACGCGCGATATCACCGCAGCGACAAGAAATTACGTATGCCGTTGTATTTAGCACAAGGAAACCGCGCGTTATTGGTTTCCGAGTCGCGCGATATTGAGCAACGTCCCGTCTCTCGTCGTCGTTCTCTGAAATATCGCGGCTTTCATACCGCGGTATATAATGGATAATGAGTGTCGCGACGACACGCCTCTTACGTAGAACGAAAACGAGAGAAACGTGCACGCTTGTTCAATCGCATATGAGCCACTTAGCTTTGAAGTTTCTTTGCTTAAAGGAATCGTCATCACAAGTGAGAATTTGTAAGAGCTGACTTACAGCACCGGTGATTCGTACAAAAGAATTCATAGATGAGCATACGTCGCTCATGTGCTACGACGCTGCAATTCAAAAATTGTTGTTATTAAATTGCTAGCAAAGGGAACATAAGGGGAAAAAAACGTGTTTTAAAAGAACAGATATTTTTCCTTATTCCTCTACAATCAGTTATACCTATCGCAATTGCATTTCAAAATCATTATTGCAAAATTAATTTTTGGAAAACTTTGTTTTTTGTTTGTCTCCTTATTATAATAGCACAATTCATTAGCTATATGTATATTGGTTAAACATTGACATGCATTAGGAATATTGGACTAATATTGCACCAATGAATTATACTGTTAAGATTATGATGTTATAGCGAATAAACGATATGTGTTGATAGAAATATACAAATTAAACAAGAAACAAAATATGACACTTTAATGCTTAATTCCCAAGATATAAAAAGAAGATTGAAATTAGCTTTTCGCCTGTTTAAAGCGGTGTCTACAATAAGACTTAAGATTTAAGAAAACTGATCAATCACAATCGATTATTTTTCTCACGTGGAGAATAATCGACTATGATTGGTTAATTTTCTTAAATTTTAAGTCTTAAGTCTCATTGTAGATAACGTTTTAAGCTTCAATGCAGTAATAAAGATAATCAAGATCATCACGCACAAGCGAACACCTTCCGCAATGGGGAATACGTAATAATAAGCAGAATCGGTGTACGCGCGAGCGTACAAATTGCTCTCGTTAACGAGAATGAAGGAAACATCATTGATGCGATTGCGCAAAGAGTGGATGGACCTCGTAGTGGAAATTATGCGCGATTCTCGAGAAGAACGCCGCATTGAAGTCGAAGGCCGAGACTATCTCCGCAGCGCTGCTGCCATGCGTGCCGTAACTATTAGGCAAGAGAGAAACAGGTCGGCGAGAGGTGGACGCAGGAAAAGCAGTGCGCGTAACGCAGCTGTAAAAATGAGGAACTGCTGGAATTAATTGACTCACTATATGGTGAGTCGTATATACGCTGAAATTGGGTCAGACCCGGTCAGACCTTTACTACTCCGTAAAACCGCGTGGCAAACGCGTTTCGATTAAACCAAGCTGATATGAATGAACGAAGGAAATGTTTCTGGCTCTTCGAACATATTTAACACGCTCTACTTGCGATGCGGAGTCATTGAAATCCTCTCGATGCTGCGCTATTCGTCGTCGAAAAAAAGCAACATAACTCGCGATAATTGTGCATCCTTGATCCTTGCTCTTAGAGTGTCGTGAATGTTTCTTGAAATATTTGAAAAAGAAGTATTGATTATATTTGTAAATTGAAAAAAGCTGATTAATCTTGTTAAATGACATTAGTTGCGTAATGCTGCAAGCATGATGTCATCATACATCATGGTTATTTTTGCGTAGTATCTTCAACGAGAACATAAGTCATATTTGATAATCGAAAATACTGTAACATTATAGTGGCCCATTTTTTTACGTGCGGATAAAAATAGCCTTGGCCATAAGTAGAAAGCACCCCCGTAAATTGACGTAAACGTTTTATACCTAATAAAAAATAAATTAAAAAATAATTTTATTAAAAAATAATATTTATTTTTATAACAATTTTAATATATTTTGTTAGTTCATTTTTTTACTTTTATTACAGTCTTTTTCGAGAAAATGCAATAAATTCAAGATTTTATATACTAAAGCCAAAGCTGTATTTTGCCGAAAATAAAATACTTTAAATATATAAATATATTACTTTGGTTAATTCATGTATTTTTCATGTATAATTATCATTATACAAGAAAAAAGTAAAATTCACTTATACAAATAATTATACACTGCAATATCGTCTACAATTTTTTTAAACGTATTCATATTTTTATAACATGTATTTAAAGGTATTAATAAATATATAATTATAAGTAAATGTATTATAAAATTTTTCATTTTATATATCATATTTAAACGTGTTAAAATATTTTTCAAGGTAGAATCTTGAAAAAGTTTAAATATAATTGATTTCATTTATTACGGCTAGTAATCAATTATACTTCTTAAAAAGGACTTTTAATTAAAGGTAAGATCTTTAATTAATTTGCGTAACTCGAGGCATAACTCTTGTGAAGTACAATTTTATATCGTTATGTTCTTATCTCTTTCAGCTAGACAGTTATTACACATTCAATATCCGTTTATTATAGACGAAAATAAATCCAATATAGCGTAATTCAACATCCTTTGACGATACCGTTACATGCTTAACGACTTGCATCGCTAATCAGTACATCGACGAGATGAGATTCTTGACTATCGATCATTCTACGAGATCCTCAAACACGTATACGAAATGAAACATTCAATTTTATGTGACATTTCCTCTATTACTCGATATATAAGATTAAGTATCAAAGATATGTTTTCTATAAGCTTAATCATTACAGTCCATTATAATTCGTAAAAAAGAAAAATAAAGAGCGTATTAAAATTCTTTAATTATAGCGCCAATGTAATTATGCTAACGCCGATCAAAACTAATCTAATTTTCTTTCTGCATTTATACTAACGTTGCCATAACTATATAGAAAGATACAAAGATAAAAAATTACAATAAAAGCTTAATTGAATGTGATTACGCAATATTTCTTCTTTTTTTCGATTTAAACTTACAAAGGAACTGTCGCTCACTGATGATAGGGACATTACCTGGGATATGTTGTAAAGCATCAAAAAATATCAGATTCGTATTTTTCTTGAAGCTTATCTTAAGAGATTGAAATGAACTCTCAAAATTAATGAATATGTTTAATTTTCAGCGCATATCTTTGAAACTAGATATATGAAGGAATGCTTTCTACAAAAGTTTTATGGCATTTTATACTTTTTATAACAATATATTCATTTTTCAATGCTAAATTTTTTAACTGCACCTTTTATCTTGAGATAAGCAAATAAAAAAATATGGGTCTAATATAATTGCTCTTTATAACATATTTAAAACCAATTAAAATCAGTGAAAGACAGTTCGACTTGTTAAAAAAATGGTCAGAGTACAAGTTGATAAAAAAAACTGTGACGAGAGAAAGACGCTATCGGAATCGGATGGCAAAAAAATCGATCGGAAGATACTTTAAGTCGCACACAATCGATCGTAATTAATGAAATCAATCTGTTAATGCATTTTAAAGATTTGACGTTATGATGTTTTTTCTCGTTCAACATGGTGTCCAGCGATATCTGGCTAACCAATACAAGGATAATTTCAGAAAATTCCTGGTAAAAGTTCTGGTTTTTTCAGATCGATTAATTTTCATTATTTATAATTAATTTTTATTAATTTACGCAATATTATATGTTTTGCATTCAAATTAGAATTCTATATGACAAATCAATTAAAATGCAAACAAATTTAGAACAATATTATTTATTGCTTTACAAATTGCTTGCCTTTACCATAAACTTTTCCGAAAAACGATCGATATTATCGACATAATTCTTGCATGCGCGCAAGAAATATTTTTTTCTTTTTTTACGATCGAATTTTTTTTTAAATAAAAGAATAACAAAAATTCAAAATAAATTCCAGGGGTTTTCTAGGAATTTTCCAGGACACATTAAATTCCATAATAATTTCAGGATTCAAGGACATTCAAGGATCGCTGGACATCCCCTGTTCAATGATAATACTCGAAATATTTGTGGAGTGTCAGCAAGCTAAGCCTGACAAAGACAAGGGATCGACCGACACGCCGCAAGATCGCGGGAAAAATTCAGTAGCCTACATAGCCACGAAATGAGTCACATGTGTGTGAAGCGGGCCTTAATTAATAAAACCGATCACGCGCGCCGGACAATGACTCACCGTCAGGATTGGTGAAGTATCCCCAGGTGGGTGTCGCGGTGGCCGCCGATTGCACGACCAAAGCCACGACGCTCAGGGCCAGAGCGCCGGCGGCACCCCGCGCCGCGACGGCGCGCTTCTCGCTCCGTTGCGGATCGGTAGTCGTCGTGGCGACCGCCCTCACGCCCCGACGAGTGCTCGAAGAATTGGTTGCCATTCTTCATGCCGTTCGTTATTCTTCGCGAACGTCCTCTCGGCTTTACGTCGAATGCCGATAACGTGGAATTGGAGTCTACGACGAAAGTCTTCCCTATGCGTTGTCACGGATGCAGATGCGGAATTATGTCGATGAACGATGAACTTCGGTCAACAATCGTCGTATGCGATTTACGGAGATTGCGCGTGAAGCAATGGATAATTCGGAGATCGACTCAACTTGAAAACATCAATTTATTACAGATAGATTTAAATTCCATTATTATACCGATATTATCGATATATTGTACAAATGTACAATCTGATCGGAAATTAAGCACTCCGAGCATCGGCACGATTCGATACTATCAGCGAGTACCGATTTTCCCATTTAATGTTCATCGTTGAGAAATAAAATATCTCGTTTCGCTAAGTTCTGTTTTCAATTCGATTTTCATTAAAAATTACAGACTAGAGTACAATTATATAGGCTTATCATCAGTTTTTCCTGATATTTCCTTAAAGATCGCTCCAACTGATTCGTTGATAACGATACAGCTTTCGGTCCCTCAATCAAGCATCGTTGGAATTTTTTGTGGACCTGTTTGTCACGCGATCTTCGACTGTAAATTCAACGATCCTGATAGGTACCAGCCAGTGTCAGGTAGCTTCTTCAGTCCCGAAATCACGAGATGCGTTGTCGTTGTCGTTGTCCTCGTCGTCGTCGTCGTCGACACGGTCGATAATCGAATTTCGTGTCGACCGCGTTGTCGCGTACGCACGCAATCGATAAGCCGGTGGCCCGAGAACGAGAAGGAGGTGGCGGAGGTGGTTATAGTTGAAGCGGCCGGCGGGAAGCTCGAGGGCGAGTAAGGGGTGCGGGCGGGGGTGCGACGAGAATCGCGCGCGTATTGAGTTAAACGAATTCCACGTTCCGTGTTGTGTTTCCCTCGTGTCTTCCTCTTTATTTCCATACACGACACACGCGCGTACACACACACACACATACACGCACACACGTATTTCGCAAAGCCTTGATTTAGATATCACAATGAACTTTTTATCTAATCTTTTATCCTTTATTTCATTTTTGTTCCGTCTGTAATTTCTGGACTTGTCATATGTCTTCGATCATGCTTTAGGGAATGCGTCAAAAGGAATTTTCACCTCAAAGCGCCTAACGAGCATATATTTCTCTTTCTTTTTCCACTATATTCTCTATGACAGAGACAAACGTACACGTGTTTTTGTTATTGGCATACGTATTTCTCCTCCCTCGAAAACCCTTGGCGAAAGCTATCGGTTTCCTTCGTACTCCGTGGATTGAGTGGAACTCTGTGAAACCGGTTTTTGCGATGTGCAAAGCGGTGCTGCGCTAAAAATAAGATATCTTCTTTCTCTATCTATCTTTCTCTCCACTTCTCTCTCTCCGCGTCTCTCCTTCTCCCCGCTTCTCCTTCTCTCTCTCTCTCTCTCTGTCTGTCTGTCTTTCTTTTTCGTTGTTTCTTGAGATACTCCTCTTTCTTCCAATGTGCAACAAAAACGTCGCGCGACTTTCTCTACATCGTCGCCGTCGTTGAACGAGTTGGGATCGTCGGTTGAACCTACCCACCTTATCCACCCTACTCGCCACGAGGTCACGCGTCGTCCGTTAGGTTGGATTGGCTGGTAGCACGGGCCGCTTGCTATTCACCGAGTCGACTATAGTGCCGCTATAGTTATCGATCGCTTGCGGATACGCTCGCTTCATTTTGTGCCACATCTCAAGCCTAAGGAGTGTGTTTCGCAACGCTCCGTGACTCGCACTCACGTTCGTTCGATCGCGCTCACGTCTGTTCACGTTTTATATTCACATACGTTTCTCACGTCCTGCGCTGTTACATGCTGTACTGTACACCGTCGTACGCGGCAGCGCCGGCCGCGATTATACGCCGCTCGATTTTCCCGCTCTTTCCCGCGACAAAACCGCGACACTTGTGCGCGCACCCATTCGTATCGGCTCGATCACTTTCGCCCCCCCCCGTGTGTCACCGTGTCACCGTGTATATGGGTCACACGACTCGATCGTCGGTTGCCGCGCAGACGTCGCAGACCCGATGCGATGCATCGATACACACTCCTCTTTCCGCGGTAAGAATCCACGCGACGACGGGAGAATAAGCGACGACGTGTATCTCGTTCCTCGAGGATTCGACTCGCGTTACCTGCGCGCGTGTCTCGCGAAGCGGCACTCGCGAGCGCGCTCCGTTAGTCGACTCGGTGCGGCGCGCGGCGCGACGGCCGACCACGACGTGTCCTCCACGCGCGTACCTGCTGCCAGGCCTGCCTCTGCCTGTCCGCCGCCGCTGTGCGCGCGGAGTAGTCATGCATAAAAAAAAAAGAAATCACGTGCACGTACACACATGTACACACATGTCAACGGCGGCACTCGCGGCGGGATACCTGCACGCGCGCGCGCGAACGCGAGAGCGGCGCGCGCGGAAAGCGCGCAGGAAAAAGGAAGGTGCAGGGCCGCGAAACGCGGGCGCGAGGAAAAAGCTTGGCTTGCCGCGAAATATTTGTGCTTGCGTATATATTGCCGATGCACGCGCGCGCACGCACGTACGCACGCATGCACGCACGCATGCACGCACGTACGTCCGTCCGTCCGTCGCTACGTATGTTATATACGTACGTACGCGAGGAATACGGAGCGTGCGTGCTGAACGGCGGTGTGCGCGCGCGACGCGCGAGACGAGACGGGACGGGAAGAGAGAAGGAGTGAGAGGGAGTGACAGAGGAAAGACCCGCCGCGCCGCGCGGCGCGGAAATGGAACGGGGAGAGAGAGAGAGAAAAGGATAATACGTGTACGCGAGCCTGCGCGCTGCGCGGCATACTGAGCTCCGATGCCGACCGACGCGGCCGAGTTGCCTGGAACGAGCGTGCTCCATCTTTTTCCGTCTTTTTCCCCAACGTAACTCTTTCCTCTTCTTCTCCTCTCGTCGTACCATCTGCTCGCTCGCTCCCTCCGTCTCTCGACGCGTTCCTTACGGTTGTTTGTGCTCTTCACTCTCGTGACTTCGTGGCACTACCTCCTCCGCATTCGCTTGCACCTCGCTCCTTTCGCTGTGCGACGGCCGAGGGCGAAGTATAAGATGGACTTTTAAACGGGAAGATGTGAAACTGGTTGAAAAAATAGAGAGGAGAAAATAAATCTGCTAAACGATATCGTTTTGTCTATCCTCATTTAATTCGATAACTAAAACTACGCAAATTTCAAATTGTCATGTCGATTCTCAAATGCATCTTTTGAAAAATATCCCCTTTATTACAAATATTTTTTCATATATATCCATTAATAATTTTTATATTACATTGTCATAATGTAATATTGATAATATTGCTGAATTCTTCACCGTTTAATCAAAATAACATAATATTACTGTAAAATGTAAAACTATTTACTTTTTAGTTAAAATTGTATTTCATATGTGATTTATTTATAAAAAAAATTACCTTTGTTTATGAGCATTTATGACTTGGTAAAATCATATATTACGTAAAAAGGAATTTCTGCATGGTCTTGTACCACAAAGACACTTTTATTACACTGCATTTTTCCAAAACATTCTTTATCAATTTATTATATAACTGATATAAAATATTTTATGGTGCGCATATGCGTAATGTATACACATACGTGCGTGCATACCTTTAAACGCTAATGTACCTTTAATGTACAGAAACATCAATCGATATTGTTCTAAAAATTTAACACTAAATTGTTTCCAACTTTCAAATTTGGTCTTTCTTTCAATTCGGAATTGGATGTTATCTCCATTATCTTTTATTCGCCATGACAAAAATGACCTTATTCTAAACAATGCTTTCGGAAATAAAGTGGCAATCGTCATTCCAGAGTGTTTTGCAATCGCAGTTAATATTACGGTGCGATGCATTTTTTTCCCGCAATCATACGTCGCATTTTGTTTAATTGAAATTGAAACGAGCGTCTTTGCCGTCCGACGCGTCGCGGCGCGGGAAGCGGGCGCCGTTAAAATAGTTAAGTGGGCAATTATGCTTTACGATATGTAATAAGCTGGCATCGACAGCTTCCTGCCCCGTGGAATCAGTGAAAATAGAGAAATATCTAGTGCTGGTGCCACGTAGAAAAAAACATCACGAACCAGTTTTTTCGATATGAAAAATATATATATATATATACATTCTTTAAATTCCATTTCCATTTTTACTCGAGAAAGAGAGAATCCTGTTATATTAGAATATATATTAGAAGAATTCTCATTTAGTTTGTATGATGCAATAAAGAATTCTTTATTGCATCGACGTCAATCATACCAAATTTTTAAGAACTGTCATAAATTATTTATACAGTCGAACCTCGATAACTCGAATCTCAAGGGGACAGAAAAACCTTTCGAGTTATAGAGTTTTCGACTTATCAAAATTCGAATAAAACAGGGTTAACATATGAAAATTTAACTTACGGAAGATTTGTATGAGAATTTATAATTTTCCGATTATAATGGTTTTTAGAGGGAAAAAAAATCAATATTTAACAGTGAATTATTTATTGCATACATATAATAAATGTAATCATAAAACAAAATATCAGGCTATTACTCATATGTAGTAATTACACATAGCTACAACTTCGAATTATATAGAGGCAGCAACAATGGAAGTTCGACTTATAGAGGTCTGGCTACTTTAAATTCGAGTTGCAGAGGTAAAATAATACATCTAAATATCTGACATATATAAATATCTGACATAATTCGAGTTAAGGTAGGTTATTTCGATTTATAGAGGTTTCTCGCAGTGGAGCGGTAGAGAATGTACAAATTTTTCGTCTTACAGAGGTTTTCGAGTTGTACGAGGTTCGAGTTATCGAGGTTCGACTGTACTATGTAAAGCCACATATATATTCATCGTAACAAAATCTCCCATCATTAGCATTGTGTCAGTCATAATGTTCCATGCGCAGCAAATTTAATCTTATTAGCGCACGGTTATTCTGCAGTACAATACGTGTATATGCGAGATGATGCGTCGCGCATGGTGTAATATAGCACTGCAGGTACGACGGACATAAACCTACTTAAACTATGAGGATTTCCGCTTTTGTCGAGTTATGTCGCTCTTAGATTTCTTTCGTCCTACTCATATTTCGAGCTACGAGTTCCTAAAGTTCTTTACTACCTACCTTACCTTTAAGTCTATTACGCGGATAGATCCTAGAAATATCTAACATCAAATCCTAAGTCCATATCACTTTTCATGATTTTAGTACAATTTATTTATGTTCGAAAAATGGCGATTTATATTGAGAGAATTCTTTAACTTTTAATCTATATAATCGGCCTAATAAATCAGTGTATTTTATTTATTTACAATTAAAAATAAATTATTTTTAAATTAAAAATAAACAAAAAATCAAATTGATTAATACGTATTTGGTGATTAATTAATAAATTTAGCAGATTAGAGGACATAACAGTTTAATGTCTCTCATTGTCAGACAGACCTTTTATCACGAAGAATGTAAAAAATTTATCTGATGGATAAATTATTATTTAATAATTTAACAAGTAAAAATTGTTTAATTTCTTATTTTACTCGTTTACTGTATCTTTAGCAATTGTTACCACCAAAGTAATCAGATTAAAGTAAATAATATAATCCCCATTAGATGTGGAAGCAGGGCGTAAAAATATAATTATCGCTCTTATCTTGTGGTATTATTAACAAGGAAAATCATCGATTGTTCGATAACATAGATAGGTGATCTCTAAGTTTTAGTTCATGTATAGTTCGATGGAATTCCCATGTGAGCAAGCAATTCCAATTAACAGCGCACGTATACAGAACACACCGGAACAATTAGCGTGAGTGTAGTCGTGCGCAGCTATCACGGAATCAATAAGCGTATGTCTGTAACATGATGCCACTAAATAAATCTATAATATCGCTTTATGGTTTTCTAAAGAGAGCCTCGAAACGCGGAACGCTCCTATAATATACGTGTTTTAATTAATAACTGCAGCGTTTTACTTATCATATCGAAAGCGCGATGGAATGTGAAGGCAAAATGTCATATTCCACTGAAATTATAGTTTCCATGTTGCTCTCGGGTGCAACAAACTCCGCGGCTTTATAGTTACATTAAGCGGGACACTTTATTCCGTGGCGCAATAAAGCCTGAGCGTGGACTGACTCGGGACGGAGTACAACTGCAACGGGGGGGGGGGGGGCCAAAACCGCAGAGACCGATTGGTCCAGTGTCGCGTACCGTGATAAGTAGGAATAAATGAGAGCCGTGAGAGCCGTAAAATTCGATGCGCCGCTTTTTATTCGGCGACCACCGCTGAGCCAAGCGTTATCGCGGGCTCGCTGAGCTAATGCCGAAAAGGATTATATTATCTCGCACAAAGATAATAATTCTCCGTTCCTC